AAGCCTGCGCCAGAGGTTCNCGGGTTTTAACAGAGACAAGAGATGCCTTCCAGGGACTCGTCGGACAATTCTTCAGATTATAGCCGACTGGATCAACGATCCGCTTGACGCTCGTCGCGTGTTTCTGCTCTATGGGCCGGCGGGGTCGGGTAAGTCGGCGATCGCTCATACCATAGCAGCCATGTTCTACGATATGCTTCGCTTGGGATCCTCGTATTGCTTTGACAGGTCCAACAGCGAGCTTACTCGCGCTATCCCCGTTTTCGCCACCATCGCCCGCGACCTATCCGAGCGTGAGCCTCAGATTCGAATTCAACTTTCGCGGGTCATCGCCCGGGACTCCGCCCTTGCCACATCGAACGATCTTCGCGAGCAGTTTCGGCGCTTCATCGTAGAGCCTGCGTCACAGCTCGCGATCTCTGGGCCGATTGTCATCGTCATCGACGCCTTGGACGAATGTGACTCGTATGCACGCAGCGGTCTCTTATCAATTTTGCAGAGTCAGGAAGCAGAGGATGCCCTCCCGCGCAACTTTCGCATCCTCGTCACCTGTAGGCCAGAGCCCGACATCATGGACGTGATTCGGGACGCGCCTCTTGTTCATGCTCGATCAATGAATGACGTGCTGGGGACGACCGCCAACGAGGACGACATACAGCTGTATGTCCGTGGACAATTGTCATCCCTCTCAAAAGTGCGTGATGTCGATACCATATGCGCCGATCTCGTCCGCGCCGCCGAGGGACTCTTTCAGTGGGCTGCGACAGCATGTCGCTTCCTGACCGCAAAAACTCCCCCGTTGACCATCAAACAACGGATGACACTTGTTGTACCATCCGATGGCAAACGCACCGCTAATAGCCAACTTGATACGCTGTACTTGGAAGTCCTTCGAACCACCTTCTCTTCCACTCACTCCGAGGTCATGGAGAATTTCCATCGTGTGATGAGTCTCCTCATGACGGCGATAGAACCGCTGTCCATCTCGGCCTTGCAGGATATTGTGAGTGGACAGGCAGACCTGGATCCTGATATGCTGGAAGGGGTACTTTCGGGCATGGGATCGCTCCTGTCTGGTACCGATGGCTCGGACGTCGTCGTGCGCCCTCTGCATACGTCGTTTCGAGACTTCATTCTAGATCCCAAACGCAGCCATGAATTCGTCGTCAAGCCAGGGAAGGAGGAGCATCTACAATTCGCGCGTGGGACCCTACGTCTTCTGTTGAGCGAGCAGTTGCACATCAACATGTGCGGACTCGAGACATCCTATCGTCTCAACATGGACTATCTTGATTTACACGATCGTCTACGCAAAATGATCACGTCGAGTTTGGTTTATTCCACTCACTACTGGGCTGATCATCTTAAGAAGACTCCATACGGCTCTGGCCTGATGCAGTTGGCAGAGCACCTGCTGAAAGACAAGTTCCTGTTCCGGCTCGAGCTCCTCAGTCTTCTTGGATCTGTTCCTACCTGCGCATCGGCGCTCCTGAAGCTCAAACAGTGGACTCCTCAGGCAGGTCTTTTCGTCGGTTACATCTGTCGCATGCGGCTCACATACATGTCCTGCCCTTAGGACACTCCGGAAGGACTGGAAACGGTCTCAATCATTGAGGACTTCCTGAAATTCCTCCGAGCTTTTGGGGTGATGATCGGATCTTCTGCTCCCCACATTTATCTCTCAGCCATACCTTTTGCACCGATGAGGTCACAAGTGCACCAGCTGTACGAATCAAAGCTTCCCAGAAGAGCTGCGGTGGTGTGCGGTGGATCATCGAAATGGCCCGCCTTAGAATGTACCATGGACGGCAATGACAACGTCCCCTGCGCGGAATTCTCCGGCGATGGAAGACACATCTTCTTTGTCTCGCTCAGATCATTATGCTGCATTATACATGTTAGGGATGCAGCGACCGGACAACTGGCTCGTCGACCTGTGCGCTGTGTTACATATGGTGATGTCTGGTCTGCCGCCTTCTCCTCAGAGCGGGACTTCATAGTGGTGGGGTTGTACCGCGGCACGATTCAGGTTTGGAATACCAAAGCAGGGCAGCATATCCACACGCTCAGAGGGCAAACGGGTTCGGTTTGCACGGTCGCTTTCTCTCGTGATGGCAAGCAGATTGTGTCGGGCTCGGATGACCAGACGGTCTGTATTTGGGATGTGCAGTCTGAAAAGCTTGTCCATCCACCACTCCAGGGACATACAAACCGGGTCCGTTCCGTGGCTTTCTTGCCTGACTCCAACTGGGTGGTCTCACGTTCAACAGACGGAATGATTTGCTTATGGGATACCACCACAGGAACACTCGTGCACGAGCCATTGCACGGCCATCCATCCTTAGTATCCTCTGTCACATTCTCACAGGATGGAAAATGGATTGCTTCGGGTGATGAGAGCTCCGTGCAGCTGTGGGATGCCGAGTCTGGCCAGCCTATCGGGTCCCCTCTTTGGGGCCACAATAGCGATGTCACAGCATTGGCGATCTCCCCGGACAGCAAGTTCGTTGTATACGGTTCTGGAGACGGTGTCATTCATCTCTGGGACACGATAGAACAGGCCCTCTGCACGACTTTCCATGGTCACCTCAACGTGGTGAATTCTGTGACATTCTCGGGAGACGGCCAGTACATCGTCTCCGGATCAAACGACAGGACTGTGCGCGTGTGGAATGCTTCAACCCGACGCACTGAGAAGGACATTGTCAGAAGACACGCTGGCCTGGGCGGCGATATGGCTGTTTCGCCGGATGGGCAGTGTATTGTCACTTGGCACAAGAAAGACATTTCTGTGTGGGATGTCTCGACGGGAATGCCTGTTCAAGGGCAGCACTGGCCGGAACACACCGCCGACTTACGCTACGTTGCGTTCTTACCCGATAGACACCGCGTCTTGTCGTGGTCGAAGGATAGCAACGTTCGCGTGTGGGAAGTCTCCACCGGTCAACAGACTCGCCAGTTCGAGGTTCCGATATGGGGATACGGTTACTTAATATTGGCAGCAATCTCTCCGGACGGGAGATACATCGCATTGTCACACTCAGGAAGGATTATACACGTATGGGACATCTCCACCGGGGAGCGTTCGCAGGAACCTCTCGATCACACTTCTTACGTTGCATCCCTTGCATTCTCACCAGATGGGAAGCGCATCGCATCGGGCGCATGGGACAAGAGAATACGTCTATGGGACATCGAGACAGGTCAGACTGTATGCGCGCCATTGGAGGGGCACACCGATTCGGTATACTGCGTTGCCTTTTCGCCCGATGGCGCTTCTCTCGTGTCCGGTGACCGCGCTGGCGTCATTCGGATCTGGGACTCTGCTACGGGACAGACGATCTGCGGTCCTTGGCGTGGCGATGACAAGTCGGTTTACTCCGTCGCTTTCTCGCCAAACGGACGCTGCGTGGCCTCGGGCGGAGATGATGGTACAGTTCGCGTTTGGGACGCAGTCACTGGGAAGCCGATTCGCGAGCCATTCCGGGGTCACACAAGTGCGGTCGAGACAGTGGCATTTTCACCGGATGGCAAATGTATCGTATCTTGCAGTCGAGACAGCACTATACGGTTCTGGGATGCCTCGCCAGGGCAGGCTGACGATGTCGAGGGACTACGGGGTGCGTCACTTCAACGTTTCACTTGATCTCACTCACACTGGCTGTCCGGCGTAGTAGACGATTGCGTTGTCTCAATCCAACCGCAGTCCGCATCGTTCTCGCCGAACAAGGATCACGCTCTCGCCGACATTCAGCTCATAGTCCCTGGCGCTGAACAAATGTCACGGTTCCAAATCGACCAATCGTTCACGCTGAAGGACGACGGCTGGCTCATGGGACCTGACGATCAGCGCCTGATCTGGGCACCGGTTCAAAATCGCGAAATGCTGTTCATGCCACCGAACAGGCGGATCAGGATACCTTGGGATGGGGTGACCACGCTGGATCTGAGCAGCTTTGCTCACGGCGAGAAGTGGGCCGAGTGCTACGAGGAGGGCACATCCTGAGTGAGCCGGCGCATGGTTCGCTAGGTATCGTGAGTGGAGGTATCTTGTTGTTGGTCACCTTTCAGGGCCGCCGAGTTCTCGAATATGGTTGACGTGAGTAGCGACGCCGCGGTATGGACAGACTTTGTGTTTAGCGCATATAGTGTCATTAGCTGGAGAGACAAGGCGATGAGAATGGTCCTAGGCATCGAAATCTGACAGTAATTACTTGTTGTACAACATGTTTGCTGATGTAGTCCTCGGGCCCAACGACGATCGTACATGCTCCCCATGTTACCCGCCTTACCCACCCGTCACCACTCGCATATACGCGCACAACTCGCGTCGAAACGTCCGATCGCGTGCTCGCCCCGAGAGGTTGCCTTCGCCTTGAGATTGCTTTCGTAGACAGGGAGTTGTGTCTGGGAAGGTGAGGTATCGCCGTTGACGAGGCCGGTGCGGAGCCGCACAAGGCGTGCTTTGCTGTGTCCGACTGCGTGGAATATTTCGTTTTCAGTGGGCGTGGAGGCGACGGTGAGATGAGACGATGGCCTGATTGAAAACGGCCCTCCGGTAAACAGGGGATAGGATAAACGAGGGGAGCAGGTGCGTACCGAAGCCGTGTGCATGGCTGCCTCCGTGACGAAGCATTTGGCCACGTCCGTGGCGAAAGTGGGCGAACGTCTGTGTGCGCGCAGCTGTGACCCCGGTCCCGTCTATAGGACGGCGAGCCCCGCTCGGGTTTGCAACGCGCCGTGACCGCCAAGCAATGCTTACCGTCCCAATGACAATCCTCCGCGAGCAGATGCGACCACCCTGCCCGCAGATTACTTATCAGTACTCCGTTTGATCTTAGACGAATGAGATCATCGCACACCCACATCGCTCCCGCCATATCTCAGCCTTTCCTTACATTCGCAACGAGCTGCTCTGGCGTTCCGCTGGCGCCGATTTTGAAACCGATAGTCGCGTTGAACATTATGAGGTCCCGCAAGAGGTCATTCACCATGTTTCGTGCCTGCGCTGCATTCGGTCGGGTCGTGGACCCCGCAGGTGTGATGTAGGGTGTATAGGTCGGTTTGCGGGGTAAGGCGGGGTTTTCGTCATGAAGATGGATGAGTCATACAGAACAAGCGGCGTGCGCTACTGCTCGGAGGGAAAAGAACGGTGTATAACATACAAAGAAAGCGTTGACGGCGTGCGTACAGCACGGACCGGAATGGTCGTTCTTGATGCACGGAGTCGCCAGCGGTCCCGGTCGAAGGGGGTTTCGCTCGCCCGTTGCGCATCCAGATGGATCGCCTCAGCACATCGAGTGCCTGTTTGAGGGCTGCTTGTGTATGAGGACACGAAGCAGCGGACGGGATGAACGCGAAGGAAAGCATCTGGGGCCCCACCCGTTATGATCTGCGTGCCTCAGCAGAGCGCACATCGTTATTTGCGCATACCTTCTCGGCCTTCAGACGAGGTAACGTCGATCGTCCGACACGAAACTGGTGCAGGCCTTCATCGGCCCCTCTCATATCTCTCGCGGGACCCTGACGCCGGAGACCCCGCTGGGTGAGCAGTATACAAGCGGAGCTTCGGCAGTTGCGCCCGTAAACGACACGATGCGATTGAGCATGCAGATGGAATTCCGAGCTTGATGATTTCGCGCGGGCCGGGGCTTTTGCGAGTGGTCCCATAGACGCCCTAGGGGCGCTGTTCCGGCGAGTTTCAGGCACGCGACAAAGGAGTGAGAGGTGAGAAAACAAGCAGAGATAGAATTATATTGTCAGGCGAGTGTAGATCTGCGAGTACGAAGGCGAGTACGCCGCAACTGGAAATGTCGTAGGAACAAGGAAGAGAGAGTGAAGTGACGCGCGATCCGTTCTCTCTCTGCCACCGTCGCACCCCAAGATAGTACGTCGATCAAACTGAAGACTCGCGCTGGGCGATATGGGAACAAGGACGGGCCCGAGGAATGGTCGATGGCTAACGTTACATGTCTGATGTAGCGTGAGTGTTCGAGTTTGCGCGAGTTGATGACGTCCGTTCGCTCACCTGGTGTTGTGCCATGCAGTCGAGCACCGAAGTCTTGATCCGCTCGCTCTGGCTTCAAGCTGGTCAGATGCCCCTCCTGCTCGGTCCAGCGCACCTCCAGAGTCCAAGAACACATCGACTTCGGGACTCCCGCACGCGTCGCCATCGTAGGGCCGTCCCAGACTAGCAGCCTCATCTACATACCTATCGCCTGGGAACGACGTACTTACGCTCTCCTCTCCTTCACCGAAGTCAAGTTACGCTACGAAAGCCAAGCCCGGACGCGATGCAGTCCGTCTACGAACACGTGCACCTCGCCTTGTCGCCCTCCAGCCCGCCTCCTCCTCAAACCACTCCGTCCACAACATCAGCGTCATGGCACCATCATCGCCGCTATCTCGCCTCCCACGCATCCGCCAATACTACATCGCCCTCAGCATAGTCCACCGACATGGCGACTCGCTCTCTGGACACGAAGACGCTTCGTCCAAAGGCGCCTATTCTAGTGATGATATTGAGCTCGGATATGCTAGGGAATGGGCATGAACACTGCGACGACTACGCCTACCCTCGAACCGGACAGGCATTTGTCGAACGGAGCTTGCGAGAGACGGATGATGCCGTCCAGAATGAGCAACAGGAGTATAGACAGCCGGCGCGTCCAGCCCCGGTACGTTTTCCTTCCTTGTCTCCACCCTCTGTATACTTGGCACCGAAGTTCATGCGTGCTGACGCGCGCATATATGCAGCTCCTTCGTAGACGGCTTCACGACGAACGCACTGGCTTGGCTTTACTCTACCTCGGCCTCTTTTCACCATCACCGCCCTCGACGAACCCTACGAAGATTGTATCGGCCTGCCTATCCGGGTCTTGAATGCTCTGCGACTTCCCGAATGGCTAACTGAGGTGCGTACGCGTCCGCATCTTCTCCCCGTCGTTCGTCACCTTCGTGCTCTCGCTCCCGTGCTCACGAATCCCTGCTGCACGAACCCGCTCTCTCTTCTACATAACATCTACGGATCACGGTTGACGCTCATACGCGCATACATTCGTTCCAGGTATCGCACATCTAGAAGCTCCGCATACCGTTCCTTTACACCCCCTCGGCCGGCCTCAATCGCTCCTCCGGACGGCGTGCGTCATCATCGGAAGCACAACGACCCATGATCGCTCGTGTCTATGGTCGACGCCAGCGTAATCCATCCCACTGCGAACTGGCGCTATTCTCAAAGGTCCGCACCGTCTCACCGAAGCATGAGAATTGTGTCAGACTGATGTCGTGTCTACAGTCGCATCACTTCCACGATTGGTTCGACGTCGTCATTTACGCGCCGCTATGCATCTTCGAGGGTAGACGCCGACCCGAATCAGGGCAGGATCGATCTTAGGGCTTTGTCGACGACGCAGGCGCCTTTCAAAGGTATGTTCCGGTTCTTCTTCGCCGCGTCCGCTCCTCTTTTTCTTCGCCGAGACTGATCCTCACCTGAATAGGACCCGAGTTGCGCGATGTCGTCAAGTCGCCCTTCGTCGCCTTTGGCTCCTGTGACGAATCCGAGCGCTCGACCGCATGCCGGTGTGCGCAGCGCTGATGCGTCGAGGACGAAAGTATGGACTGCTCGGCACCGGCGCGCTCTGCTCCTCGAGTGCCAACGACGGTGGGGGATTCAGGATTGCGTGCATCAGGAAGAAGTCCCGCGACTCAGCTCCGGTTTTCGTACGATGTGCAAAGAACCCGGGAGTGGGAGCCGGACGACGATCGTCGAGAGCTTCAACGTCTTCGCCGTTCGGGCACTGACAGGAGGTGGGAAGCGAGTCAGGGCAGAGGGTGGCGAGGCGGTGATCATCGAGCGGTGTGAATACATGGTGTTCGGTACGGCTCGTGAATGGCATTGGTGAGTGTTCCGCAACGCGTTCGTTGCAAATCATTGCTGATCGTCGTCCTCGTAGCCCGTCGTTAGTCAGTCGTACCGTTGTCCTCCACGGCTGTCGACTCGTCCACGAGATAGACAATCTTCGATCGTACACCCGTCATTGACCCGAAGCCTCACGGACACCTACCTATGTGAGTGCACCATCCTCTGAAATTCGAGCAAGGTCGAGTGATGCTTTTCACGGTGCGATACAGCACTACGCATGGCCGGCTCATCCCGCAAGAGTGGTCACTACATGGCGACGGCGATGATGAGACGAGGGACAGGTTAGCAGATCTAGACATCAGGTCTGTCTCTTGATTCCCGGGAATCGGCGCCGTAGTCATGTTATCAAGCAGAATTAGTTGGTGCCCATCGGGGCGGAATGTACGATTCCTTTCGATCTTAACATGTAGGATGTTGTACACCCACAGCAGCTTATCGAGCAATAAATATCCTGGTCGTCCGCGACTTCGCGTTCTGTCGATATAATTGCTCATGGTCGATCTTCAAGTCTCCGTATCTAGGTACAAGGGCCCGCGTCTCCATGCGTCAAGGCACACAGGACCCAGCGGTCGTGCAGTGTGGTCCCGATGAACATGTTCGATTCCCCCAGGGCAAATGCGCCCAGCTTGAGCCGCTTTAAACACCGAGGCTCTCGGCAATCGCAGCGTCCCACAGATGCCTCTGCAGCGCTGCCAGTCACCATCGCGACCGCCTCAACATTGGGTGTGGTGCAAACGAGTTCATCGGTCCCATCTGGCGCGATGCAGGTGAAGAGCTTCGCGATCCTGCCGCGACCTTCTATCGGAGGCTTGAGTTGTGTACCAGCAGATTCGAGCCATTAGCTTACTGGGGAAGATCCGACCCGATGTCCAGCACAACATCGTCCACCATTGCTCATCTCCATGGCCGGTTGACGTCGCGGTTGAATCAACCGGCACTGGCGCGACGGGCTCCGGCTTTGATGGACGGGTGGCGCTCGTACAAGTCCGCAAGGTTGAGGTCTGTGCACTGATTTGCGTCCAACAGGAGAAAAATACCCAAGCAGAGCCGTCATCTTCAACCATGGACGGTAGTCGAGCCACGATGCGCGTAGGATTGTATGTCTTGTGCTGCAGCAGCATAGAGCGTGCGTGCGTTCGGATCAGCAGCTCAGTGCTGCGTACGGCAGCGATCCTGACTCCTACTGTGGGGAAGGGTGCAGCGCGACGGAGAACGGGAGCAGGTTGGACGTCATGAGCCGAGAGCGTTGCCGCGAGAGTGATGGCTGTTGCATGTCGCTCGCAGAGTTCGCTTGAACTGCCTCCTCAACATCATTGCCGACGACACAAATGTCCGGTTCGTTGATGAACACATGCTCGAACCTCGTGTCATGGTGTACGAGCCTGACGGATCTATACAAATGGCGCAGGCTATAGACGATCGCCGGGGAGAGCGTGATCGAATCTGGTGCGAACTGAAGAGAAGAGGTAGCTGGCGCCGGCGCTCGGGGATAAGGATAAAAGGCCGGATGTCCCCTGGTCTGGATCGAGTGGCGCCGTCATCAGCCTGGGCAGCGCTGGACGAACGTCCGAGTCTGTCGCTTCTCCTAGGATCACGGGCTGCTGAGCTGAGTCGCACGACCGTAGGGAAGGTACCTCGAGGAAACGTGATCTTCCTTCATGACACGCGTAGCGGTGGTGGCGCCATGGCTGCAGTTTCTTGACTGCGAAATCGGCACCGCATTCTCCTCGTCCTCGTCTGCCTCGCCGATGCGGCGCGTCATGCTGAAGTTCGCGACGTGGGCAGATGCCGACTCGTCGACGTGCCTGCCGTCAAGGTGATGTTGTAGTGCACAAACCAGGCAGGCTCGCGCGGGCGATCCTGCAGAAGAGCATTGCCTGCGTTGTCTGGTGAGAGCCCTGGTCGGTCTCCGCGCAACGTGTCAGCGGGACAGTACGATATCGTGAAGAATGCTTCTGGGCGAATGTGACGAGCACAAGGGCGAGGTCCGCAACTTCGCGTCGCGGTGGAGTGCTAGCGCGGCATCGTCCTGTGTTGATACCTCCGACCGGCGGACAGCCTAGACCGCGAGGGCATCGGCCGCAGAGGAGCTCGCGCATCTGATGACGGAGAAGCTGTGGTAGACGATGATGGGCCCGTCGTGTACCCGGACATGGCTGGGCTTGGTGGTTAGACAGTGGTGAAATCAGGTATGATTATGGCGTCGACGAGGAGGATATATCGACATCTTGGGAGGCAGCGGGGGAGATGAGGTATTTGCTAGCAGCCGTCTCGAGTACGCTCCATCACCGCTTTGGATCTAAACTGAAACGGGCGGCTCTCCGAGGACTCCTCGATCCGGTATTTGGGTATGGCGCGGTTCGCGAGAGCTTCCGTGGTTCCTGCGTGAGCGAAACACGATGGGCGGGATGCAGGCTTTCAGGGAAGAAATACTGACGTACAAAGAGGTAGGCCGACGGTCACAAACGCAGTGTACGGGCATGATTGCGTGTACAAAGCGCGGGTCGACGGTAGCTGCTTTTGATGATGCGGGACGTGCCCAAGGAATGTGGTCTGCGACGTGAACTTCGGGAGTGCATCTACCTTCAGGTATATGGCATTAAATCCACCGTAAATGCATCGGATAAGCCTGAAAACACGTTAAATGGACGGAAAGGCGCGAACGTACATAGTTGCCCACCACGGGCGAGGACGCGATGTGCCCCATATCCCGGATCCCACACGTCGATTTTCAAAGATCTTGCTATGCCCTGCACACTCCTTTCCATCTGGCAACGAAGACGAATGCTCCATCAGCCTCAACAGCCGGACTTTGATGTAGCCGCGCCGGGCAGGCGAAAGACCCAGCGCTCGGTTTAGGGTGGTCCACGCGAGCTATCACCGCGTGAATAAGCATTCTGGTGGCGGACTCGAACGCGTTGTATTCGCGTAGGCCGACTTGAGGCAAGTGGTAGCGTCGAGAGGCAACCGGTGGACCGACGGTAGCCGCGGGCACTCCACGGCGGGTTGCAACCTCTACGGCGCATTCGGGACGAGAGGGCTGTGATGCGTGGGTTGCTACAGAGACAGGAAGCAAGAAAGGAAAATTGAAAGCGACCCGGATTGCTGCAGGGTGGGCGCAGCGAAGCTTGGGTGAAGCCGGTGCAAGTTGGAGGTAAACCGGGAGAGCCGCTGCGAACGGCTTCCTCATTTTGGTCACAGCAAGCCTTCGCGTCCCGGCTTTTACTCTGGGTACATCATCGAGCTGCTTCGCATTGCGCATGCGTGTGTAATTGTCTACTCGTGAGCGGGATCACGTTAACCGGTCCCTCCCCAAACGACCATGGCTCTCTTCAACTCAAGAGTCGGTCAACAGATACAGAATGACTGCGCTCCTATCAACCCTCGTATCTCTGGCTCCTATGGATTGTACTGTCGTACAGTACTACTCTGAGACTTCGCCAGTGTTGCTCATCCCCTCTCTCACGAACCTCATCTTATCTCCGCATCTGAGAGCTATGCAAGATAGTTGAACTATCCTTAGACCTCTCCAATCTTCAGTGCCCTTCTCGCCTTGCTGAAACCATGCGGCGTTCCTCTGGCTCAAGCACCCGAAGTGACTCAACTCATGCCTGCTTGCTTGCCTTCCCCCATCTTTACCTTCTCTCTGACTTCCTTGTTGTCGTACACGCTATCCTATACTTTGTGAAATCTGTTCCTCTGGTCCAGAGCGACCACGCTCGTGAATAACCATGGGATTCCGCAAAAGATTTCGCGCGAAAATGAAGGAGCTCGTTTCTCGCCCCGGCACCCCCACAAACGACCTCGTTCCTTCTGGCGCCTCGATTCATAACGCATCGTCTGCGGCGGCGAGTCTCACCTTCCAGGTTGGGACATGAACGGCGACTAACCTGACGACCAATGTTACCCAGGCCGCCCATGTACAGGAGCCCGCTGCGAGCGCTCGCGCCGATCAGCAGACCGAGGTTACCAGCGCATTGCGAAGGGATAGAGAGGTACTAGTGCATCCACAAGACAATCAGAGCGACTGGCTTACCTGCATCGCGCGTAGGAGGATTCCGATGGCGTTATCGCGGGACCCGTCGACGATCTATCATCGAGGCAGGCCATCGCGCACCAAGCCGTAGAGGTAGCCAGGCAGGCCATCGCTCCCATGAAATTTAGCGCATTCTCCGAACGTGGGGCCGCCGCAGCCGACGAAAGAACAGGACTAGGTGAAGGGTTGGTATCGACGGCAGAGCGATGGGGGCCGTTGTTCGCCCGCGTCAAGATGTTTACAGAGCTTGTCGATAAGGTCGCGGAGGTGAGCATCCACAAAATCGGCATCACTTCCTCGTTTGACTCATGTATTGACCGCGGTGTCAGGTGCACCCGTATGCGAAGATGGCGTGGAGCATTCTTTCCATTGTACAGAAGGCAAGAGACCCCGTATCATTCCCTGTGTGTGTTCTTTCACGAACGTGATGTGTAGACCGTCATAGGACAAGTCGAGTTGGACCGATCCGTCCGCGATCTTCTCGACACTCTCGAGGATGTATATGACTTCACGGAGTATGCTCAGCCTCTGGATCGCGTTGAAGCTGCGGCCAAGATCCTTGCAGCCCTTGCCCAGCAAACGACCGAGTGCGGCTACTTCATACGAGACTACGCAAAGAACAAAAACTTCCGTGCGTTCCGTTGACGCCATGCATGTGCCTCGCTTGACTTCAAGGACAGTACCACGGATGACGTCCAACGTTTTGAAGAACCTCGTCCATCCTACCAAAGCGGCGCCGGCAATGGTCGAAGATTACAAGGCGAACTTCAAGGAGCTCAAGTCTCGACTTCTGGAGGGATCGACGATCCGGACCGAAGTTGTCGTTCGAAACGTCGATCTTGTCGTCAACAGGGTGTTGAACACCGTGCAAGAGATCGGTGAGGATCGCGCAGGCTTTCTGTTAGCTGCGCTAATGATTGCTCGCCTTCAGCCGTGGACGTCCGGATGACGCGTTTAGAGGGGGCTTGTGCCGAGGGCGCCCGATTCAACAGCTCGAAAAGATGCCTCCCCGGGACCCGTGAACGGATTCTGCAGATTATTATCGACTGGATCAACGATCCGGACGATACTCGCCGCATGCTTTTGCTCGCTGGTCCAGCGGGAACGGGCAAGTCGGCAATCGCTCACACGATAGCTGCCATGTTCCATGAGATCCGTCGCCTGGGATCCTCCTATTGCTTTGACAGGTCCAAGGAAAAACTTACGCGTGCTACTCCCGTTATCCCTACCATCGCCCGCGATCTGTCCGAACGCGACCCTCAGATGAGATACACGCTTTCGAACGCCATCGCTCAAGACTCCGCTCTGATCACTTCCGATGACCTCCTCGAACAGTTCCGACGCTTGATCGTCGAACCGGCAGATCAGCTCGCGATCTCAGGTCCAATCGTGATCGTCATCGACGCTCTAGACGAATGTGACGCGTGCGAGCGCAG